TTTGTCAGCTTGTCTATTAAAATTGTAAGGTAAGAGGCAGGTATTTTCTGGTTAGGCTACATGACTAAGCACCCTGGACCCTAGATCTCAGTTGGAGTTTCTAGGCACTACAACAATGCAGTGAAAAAAGTGAGTGCATCCAAAGTGGATGTTACTGATGTCAGCACTTAAACAGATCTGAAGCACTCCTCAAGCATCTTGTTTAAAACAGTTCAGCATAAAATGGTGCTGTTCAGGTGAACTTGGGTCCTCCTACTTTAGCTTCACCATAACAATCTTTAAATAGTATGGCTTCAAGATCATTAAAAGTCCAGATATAGAAATGGGAGTATTAACTCTTGTTGGTCTGTGCACAGATGTTACTAGAACCTTGCAGATTTCCAAACCCTTGGAGATTTTCTAAGTATCCCCTGTTGGTTCACCTTGCTACTGTGCCTTCTTTGTTTAAGGTATGCCTTCACAAACTGCTTTCTCAGCAGTGATGCCAGCTCATAGAGCACCCTGCCTTCCCCACATACTCTTTAATGGGCAGGGAAAGCTGGCACCCATCAGGCATAAAATGCATACTTACTACAATTCCTTACAAGCAGCACAACAGATTGTATTTGGTGCCTCTCTGCAGTTATGCAAGATGAAGGGCAGGTTTTACAACATTAACCTTATAGAACCAAAAATCTGGATTTTTACCCTTTAAGTTGAGTTCTCCTTTCAGCTACACTATTCAGCTTTTACTGGGAAAGAAAACGGTGTGTGTGCAGCAGAGGGACAAGGTAAAAATCAACACATTTTGCAGAGAATTGCAGGTGAATTCCACAGCCTTCTCCACAAGTTACTCCTTCCACAGAACGTTCACTGGACTTGAAAAACATAATTGTTATCATTTTTTATCCCCTCAAAGCGCTCAGGAAAAAACAAACAACAAAAAAAACCAAAACAAACAAAAAAAACAACAAAAGAAAGAAAAGATGACAACACTGATAAAGCACTTAGAGAAAAACTAATTTTAAAATACTTATAATTACATACGTAACTAAAAATAGCACTTTGTGCATTAACAAATTCTGATTATAAAGATGGATCTGACAGGCCCTGCTAGACCTGGAAACATATGCATCCTCTCACACCAGTAGGAAGGGAAATTCCCCTTTAGCAGAAAAGGGAACACAACTGTTTGAAGTGCTGCCCGAGACAAAAAAATATCAACTGGACTGTAACACTAACTACAGGGAGCCCAGACCCTGATGGGGTCAGAGAAAGGACATTCAGCATAAAGTGTCCTTCATCTTCACCCGGGTGCCTGCACCAGCCCATTCCTTAACACCTCCTTCACCTTGTAGTAGATGGCAGTCCAGATTACAGGTAGAAAGGGGAACAAGAAAGCAAGAAGATTTGACATGGAACTATCAAAAGTAAATTTTAAAATGGCAGCTGCACAATGTCAGTAACAAATTTAGAAGCTTAAAAAAATACCTGGGACCTACAGTGGTAGCCATAAGATACGTGGTATATTAAATGGTCTGCAATTCGTCACCCAGTATCTTCTAGCCTCACTTTCTGGATTTGAAAGAAGAAAAAAGCATGTTCCTTTGGGGATAAAACCTGGGCATTCCTTGTTGCTATTCCAGCAGTCTGGATCCAAACTCTGCCTTAAGAGAGTGAGTGCAGCCCTACCAAAGGTTTGGTGAGCAGGGACAATTTAAGATTCAAGGCAGTTTAAATCATACATTATTTAAGATAATGGAAAAGTTCTCAAGTGCCAAGCTGATGAAATATCTACCAATTAGCTGAATTAGTACTTGAAATAGAAGCAGCAGTGCAGAATGAAAACCAGGAGTGCTTCAAATAGATTTTGGAAAGAAATACTCTGCAGGAGAGAGTAATACACATGGAAATTTGTCAAAATAACACCAGTGTGGACACATCTATATTGGGATAAAAAAGTGTTTCCTTCCTGTGCTCTTCTCTTGATTAAAGCTTTCCCTTCCCCTTCCAAAAGGTCTGATGCCAGTAAAACACATGTATTATTGCTTTACTATTTTATATTATTATTTTATGCTTTATTGTTTTAGGATTCTTTCAGCAAAGGATGAAAACCAGTTCCGATAGAAACAAAAATTGTGGGTTTTTCTTACATATCAGCTCAACATGACTCATGCTAGATGCTTATATCACCACATATGACCAATATATCATTCCTCTCTCATTTATGCTAGATCAGCAACAATATGCTGCACCTTGCATCAGATATTCACCAGAATACATTTTCATAGAGTTATTGGGAATAAAGCATGAGAGATGTATAGGTCTCACTTAAACTTGGCCAATACCACATAACAGAAATTCCTATTGTATTTGACAAATAATGCAGGATTCTAGCATTGGTAGCTCTGAACACCACCCAAAAGGATGGGAAAGTTACTTTGAACAGAAAGTAAACTAACAAACTGGTGGGGTTTTTTGTGTGTTTTTGGGGGTTTGTTTGGGGTTTTTTTGTGGATTTTTGTTTGTTTATTAATGTATTTAAAGCCATTAACTTTTACACTCATGTAATCATCAGCTTATGAAAATATACTCTTTCTATTCTGATCTACTGTGCAGATATCTGTGTGCAACACTCATGGTGTGCAGTCACGCTGGACCACATAAAGCCAGTGAAGAAACTGAAACATGTTTTCTCACAAATCTCCAAAAGGAATTAATTTCCAAGAAGGTTTTATGAAACAATCAACGAAAAAACCCAACAAAACCACCAATCAAACCCAGAGTCTCCATATCTGAAGGGAATATGAAAAACAGCCTAACCACATGGCATGTGGTCAGCAACAAACTACAGTTAAAAAAACAACATGCGATGCTTGATCTAAACCTATGTATTATCTTAAACTATTTATATAGGAAGTGGAAGTGAAAATGATAACATAAAGCTGAAAATCTGTTTACTGTTCAAGTCATAGTATTTGTGCTCTGCACTACTGCAATGGGCAGAAAAATCAGTTTGCTACAAGTAGGGCAAGACCAGATGCTCTTAACTCAGTCATTGGCACAAGTTGTTTGGCAGAAGCATCTAGGATTTGAAAATGTCAACTTTGCTCCATAAGGAGAAATGCATGAAGAGCAGGCAGGTTACAACGGTGAGGCCACCAACCAGACAGTGACCAGCACAGAGACTGCTGCACAGCAGCCAAGTGTGCCAGTACTGCTCAAATAAGCAAATACAAGAGGTAAAAGGCTACACTTCCATGGGATGACTTATGGGAAGCAGCACCATACATGTAGACAGTAGGGCTGAGAAAGAAGATAAGCATGTAATCCAGCTTTACTCTTTTCACAGAGGAAGGCACCATATTCTCAATGAACTAAACATCACAAGCTTTCTGTGGAGCTGGAATTCTCTAACACACAGGCGTCCTTGTAACTACATGACCAGGAAACTGTGCCTCAAAACCTGTGTACATATCATCTGTCTATTTCCGGAAGATTTTGACCCAAGTTGTACCACTCACTAAGAGCCTACTGAAAATCAACAATCTTGAGAAGAAAGCAATTTTTTTCTAGGTAGGTGACAAAAAACTATGTAGATGTGTTGTTATCTGCTGCTTTTCCAGTTGTTTCTCTCTGCCACGTTGGGATTTTGAAGCAAGTATCTGCTGGTTCCCAGTTCACAACATTTGAGTTGATCAGTTCTTACTCCACTGGGATTTTACTGTAATGCTTTCCATATCAACAGATGCGACAACTTCAATGCACATCTGCACAAGAGGCAGGCATAAACAAAGGCATAAAATCTCACTCTTGCAGGCACATTTTGAAGTTAAGTATCCTAGGGCAAGAACAGCATGTAGCATCTTCATCCAAAAACCCTAAAGACTTGGGTGTCCTTAGGGTAGAACTGCAAGAATGCAAATGCAATCCTCAAAATGAACACAACTCCCCTGAAAACACCTTTATTCCAGTAGCCTGCTTGTATTGTGAGTCCTCTGCAAACAGAGCCTCATTAAAATGGAAAAGAGCTGAGAGAGCAGGAGAGAACAAGCATGTTGGTCCTGCAGTGTGCCTGTCAGCCCCCCCAGCATGGGGAGAATGAAGATTGTCCACAGTGCAAAACCAGGAGATGAACTATTCTGCCTAACAGCTGTGGAGAAAGGATTCAACTTTAAATGGAAATGCAAGCAAATAAATCAAATCCTACTTTCCCATGCAGAGGTCAGATAAGCTTTGGAACAGTTTGGGGAAGACAGTGCTCTGGTCCATAACTATCTGTACTCCAGCACCAGGTGGTAAAGGGCTATTGTCTGCAACAACATACAGCTCTGGGAATGGCCTATTTGACCTCCAGAACTAAAGGATGACCATGCACACAAAAAGTGAATTGAAGTGGGGAAAAAATACTTCCCCTCAGAAAAAACAACTAATATTGTCTAGTTAATCTGTAATCCCTCAGAAGGGAACAGGAGAGTGCTTGAACCTCAGGAATGTGGACCAAACTCTAACACAAGACTCAGCTTCCATTCTGTCCAAACATGAGCATTTGGAGGCTCCTCCTTCCCCACCTCTGTTCCCAACTCAACCTTCAGCATATGTTCAAGGGGGCAGACAGAGATTTTCGTGAGGTCTGCTGGATATCTTCTGTGACTGACAATTGCTCTGTTCAATTTCAAAACCCAGAAGCATTCTGCACTGAATAGTCAGAGGCATGTGTCACACTTGACCAAGTCCTTTGTCATTCTAATCCACAAAATTGACCAGTACTCCATATTTCAGAGAAAGGGGAAAAAGAAATCTTGCTGGTACAATAGTGCACTTAGCTAGCTGTGCGATGTGTAAGGTGCATGTGAGGAACTTTAAGATGCCACCTGGGGCTCCTAATGATACACTGAACATAATCCCAGCCACAAGACAGGGCTATAATTTTACCCTGGAAGGGGATGGGCACCATAGAAAGCAGCTGCCTTCTGTTCAGATGGTGGGAGAGAGTGTGAAATGGGAAAGCAAGAACTTACCTTCACGCCATCTGACTTCTTGTTCAGCAG